TGATTCCAAAGTCCCTGTTTTCCCTTTGCATTCAACACACTCCCCTTAAACGCTGTAAGAGATATGTCAGGATTTGTTAGACACACACACACACACACACACACACACACACACACACACACACACTATGTACATTCAGTCCTGCATGCCCCCAAACTCACCTTTCATTCCAGGGTGCTCAGGTGGTTTCACTGCTATTGATCTGTCTTTTTAAAAAGGCACATCTCTGGGTGTTTGTAATCTCCCCACCAGAAGTTCCCCTGTGGCTAGATATCCTGGCTGCGATCCCCTGGTGTCCTGAGTTTTTAATAAACTATTCCCCTCCTTTTGGGGGAAAAATATTTCCAGCCATCTAACCTCTTCCCTGTCAGTCAGGCAGGCAGAGCTGGTCAGAGCTAGCCATGACTCACTTTAATCTGGGCTGGATCCTCTCACTGTGACTCTTAAATCAAGACTTCTCATGTGGGTTGACGAGGAGCCCCTTCAGCAAGTTTCCAAGTTGTGGTTTCACCTCTTCCTTTCGCTATTAACCTGAGTGATGTCAAAATTTGGGTCTAGGGGTCCCTCTGGTGATGCTACGTGACCAGGGAAAGGCACCAGCATTACTCACCTTCTTGTAGACAATAAGCTTTTACATCTCTCTACTATGAGCAGGCATGATCTGGACCCTTGGTCACCTAATTAAGCAAATAGCAATTTGCCGGACACTGTCATTGACTGTTTATTTAATGCTCACATCCGATTACCCCCACTCAGAAATCCACAGCAGAGCTTGCTCAATAAACTGTGTGGAATGAAGACATCCTGCAAAGAAACAATATTTTTGTTGTAACTAATGTTATTGACAAAGGGACTGAGAGAGGGTAAGTGACTAATCTAAAGTCACACATCCGCTAAGAGGGCAGGCTATAATTCAAAGCCCCATCTGATTCCAAATCTTGAGCATTCTCAACTCTGAATGTTGCATGTTTCTTGAAGTTAATGATCAGCTCTTCTGCCCAGGAGTTCAGAACTGAGAACTCCTCTGGGGGTAGAAGTGAGGGGAGGATGGCCTGTCCTCAGAAGGTGAGCTGGGGAAGACCCCAAACCATTCCAGATACGTTGTTTTTGTCAGTTGCCCATGCTCAACTGCTTCCAACAGCTTTTATGGAAAGTCAACATGAGTTGACCTTCAACATATCAACATAGATCACTTCCTGCTGTCTAGAGGCCTGACTTTCTTGGGTTTATAGCAATGAAGACAGGTATGGAAAGAATAAGCATTCAGCATAACAAGACATCCATTTGTGGGTTGGCAAATATCAAAGAAGTAGACAAAAGTCCATCTTTCTATCTACCTGTATACACCCAACCCATCATGTCTGTGGAAAACAGCATCAGCAATCCTTCCACTAAGGTCTAATGTCTAAATCATGCCTGGACTCCCAAGATTCCCACAGGCTAGATTTCAAGTTCTCACCCTCCCACTCACCAGGGTCTGTGTGCACAGTGAGGGACCTTTCTCAACACCCTACGAGCATGTCAACCACCCTCATTCCCAGAGAGACTCTAATCAAACCTCCCCGGATTCTATCCTTATGGACTTAACCAGTGCTGCCTTTGTCTATGCAGAGATAGATGTCATTATCTGGAGACAGAGGCTCCAGGGAGAGCTGTTGCATCAGAAACCCCTCTGGATCTTATTTCTGCTAGAGAGAAAATTAGTTATAGTGGAACTCTAAAGCCCTTGGTAGTTGTGTTGTCCCTGGAAGACTGTGGAAAAACATGTACTCATTCTCAACCATAGGAATAATGGGAAGCTTTGATGTGGATAACTTAATGTGACAGATGTCCAAATCTTTCCATTTAGATATCAAGAGGAAGAGATGTGGGAACCCATGATAGCAAATGCATCCTATGCCTCACCCCTCCCCACCAATTCTGATGTCCAGGAGACTTATTCTGAGTTAAATAATGAGACAGTGATGGTGGTGGGAGAGCAGAGGCAGCTTCCCTGGGTCAGGACATTTCTTCTTTTGTAAAAAAATATATTTTTATTGATTTCAGAGAGGAAGGGAGAGGGAGAGAGAGAAACATCAATGATGAGAGAGAATCATTGATTGACTGTCTCCTGCATTTCCCCTTCTGGGGATTGAGCCCGCAACCCAGGCATGTGCCCTTGACTGGAATTGAACTTGGGACCTTTCAGTCTGCAGGCCGATGCTCTATCCACTGAGCCAAACTGGCTAGGGCAGGTTATTTCTTCTTTAAACTCCATTCTTGAGGGGCCTCCAAAACTCCGTAGATGATGCAATGGTCTAGAGATAAATTATTCTAGTGCCCGTGAGTTTATTGTGTGTTTATGGCCAGGGCTGAGACCAGAGAGCCAGGCTACCCTGAACAGTAGTAGCCCACTGCAGAAAGTCACAGGCAAGGCCAAGGTAGAGTGAGTTACCAATAGTGATGTTCAGGCCAAAGCTGAGTAAGATAGGTGGCAATAAGGTGGAACCGGGGTGGAAGCAATAAGAAAAGTGACATGTTAAGGACCTGACCCATAATAAGTAATGATCAGCAAATTCCTTGTACCATACCACCACTCTCTAGTTCCAAGCCCATGGCAGAAATTACTAATCAATCTCATTGCTTTCTACTTCTGAGCTTGGATAGAGCTTCTCAAATCAGCGCACCACACAATCTAGACCTTATAGATTGGTTTTGACATTTGTCATGAAATCTACTTTGCAAGAAGACTCTAGACCAGTGGTCGGCAAACTCATTAGTCAACAGAGCCAAATATCAACAGTACAACGATTAAAATTTCTTTTGAGAGCCAAATTTTTTAAACTTAAACTATATAGGTAGGTACATTGTTATTAACTTAATTAGGGTACTCCTGAGGCTCAGGAAGAGTCACACTCAAGGGGCCAAAGAGCTGCATGTGGCTTGCGAGCTGCAGTTTGCCGACCACTGCTCTAGACCAGTACTCAGAGCAGTGGTGATAGTTTGCATGGAGAGCAGGAGCTTGCACCAGAAAGTTACACAACACACTGCTTCCTTTATTGATAAAATCTTGTTATGGAATAATTGTCAGTTGAACTAAAGCTTAGTGATGTTGTTGATTTATAGTCTATCCCAAGGTTCTTTTTTCCTCAAGGGCCAATACCAGTTCATGCACCACATTTTGAGTAACCCTGCCATGGACTATGAGCGCCCTGATGGCAAGGAACCTGCTATATTCATTTTTGTGTCACTGATAGCCAAGGCACATGGACAAAGCAATGTTTATTGCATAGGAAAAGCTGCAGCAGGCAGAAATTTGGAAAGGAAAATTAAGATATGGAGAAGTGGGCCGTGGTGATTCTCACACCTGGCATGTTGACTTGCTTCAAAGATGGATGGGTGAATGGATGAATGGATGGATGAACGGATGGACAAGCTACGATTAAAGTTATTTGTAACTGAGTCATGTTGTCCTAAAGAACAGGGTAAGAGAAAAAGATGACAAAGAAATTGTTAGTACTCTATATATTTGCCTCAATTATTAATTCTTTGCATAAACCTTCATATTTTTGCCATTTTCATATACTACCCACACTAACATTTTCTTTTCTTTTTTTCTTTTTTTTTTTAAATATATTTTATTGAGTTTTTACAGAGAGGAAAGGAGAGAGATAGAGAGTTAGAAACATCGATGAGAGAGAAACATCGACCAGCTGCCTCCTGCACACTCCCCACTGGGGATGTGCCCGCAACCAAGGTACATGCCCTTGACCGGAATCGAACCTGGGACCTTTCAGTCCGCAGGCCGACGCTCTATCCACTGAGCCAAACCGGTTTCGGCAACATTTTCTTAATTCAGGTACCTACTGCTTAATATCAGTTATTCCTAAAAAGCAGATGCACACGAAACTGTCCATTTTGACCCTACAGTCCATTATTTTAAATGGGAAAGATTGTATTATAACTCTTCACCAATTTCCTGAAATATAGCTAAAACCAATTCAAGATTTATGTGTCAGTAATAAAATACCATGTTAGGATATAAAATACTTGTAACATTGCTTCCTTTTGACTGCCAAATGAACATAGCTGTTAACAGTAGTTTGGTAAGAAGTCATATTTCTACTCCATTGCTCACATTTCCAAGATGTTCTTTTTACTCCTTCAACTTTTGGAGGACAGACTCATTGTAGAAAATAACCTTTGCTTTTGGCAAAATGTATACAGTCCCGAGGAAACAAGTTCAGGACGAACCCACTGTAGTAGGAAATGACTGACATTGAGTGTGATGTTATGATGACCTCTCTTAGTACCAGCAATATCTGAGACACACACTTTACTTTGTTTTCACGTGAGGCACTTTTTGTACACATTTTTTTATTTGAAATCGTGTATTTAGCTCGAGATATGAACTTTTCCTGTGTATTCATGGGCCAGAAAATATTATATTGAGAGATACTCACATTTTTAGAAGTTTAGACATTATCACCAAAAAAAAAAAACACACAAAACAAAACAAAAAACTTCATTCTACTGGGAAAAGTTTAACCAGGGAGATAGTCTGTGGAATATATCCATGTTTTCTTTCTTTCTTTCTTTCTTTCATTCTTTCTTTCTCTCTCTCTCTCTCTCCTCCCTCCCTTCCTCCCTCCCTTCCTTCCTTCCTTATTGAGGTAGCATTGGTTAACAGCATTATATGTCATAATGTTACCATTATATATAATTTGATATAACTTAGCAATTTTTCTTCTGAGTATCTATCTGAAGAGTATAAAAAACAAATTAAAAAAGATATGTATACCCCTATGTTCATTGCAGTACTAATTATAATAGTCAAGATATGTAAACAACCTATGTGTCCATTGATGGATGAATTAATAAAGAAGATGTGGTACATATATGCAATGGAATACTATTCAGTTATAGAAAAGATTAAATATTGCCATTTGCAACATCAATCTTGAGAGTATTAGGACATAAGTGAAATAAGTAAGACAGAAAAGGACAAAAATCATATAATTTTACCTGTTTTTCCTTAATCACTCACCTTTAGTTTTCTTAGAATTGACTTAATTTTCTCTTTTCTGCTGTCGTTCCATCATCTTTTACCTGGGGAAGAGATAAAACTAAAATGATGGAAATGGCTAATAAGTAAATAAATAAATATTCAAGTCTTTTCTCATTTTTTTTTCTGAAAAATTTAAAGGAACCTTTATGTACCTTTAACCAATTATTCTTTTGTCACATTGTTTTATCTCTTTATACACACAAAAGCACATAAACACACTTTCACTTAATATCAAATTTACAAACTTATGTAATATATGAAATTCACATAACATAAATTAAATCATTTTAAAGTGTATGATTCAGTGGCATTTAGTACATTTGCTATATGCACTCATCCCCTCTATCTAGTTCTAAAACATTTTCATCATCTCAAAGAGGACTCCATGTTCATTAGGTAGTCATTTCCCATCATCCTCTCCAGGCTCCTGGCAACATCCAATCTACTGTCTGTCTCCACAGATTTACCTATACTGGATATTTCATATAAATAGAATTGTCCAATCTATTACCTATTATATCTGATTTTTTTTTTTTTACCTAGCCTAATGTTTTAGAGGGTCATTCATGTTATAGCATTGTTATTGGTTGAATTATATCCCTTAAAAATTCATATGTTGAAATCCTAACCTCCAGGACCTCAGAACATGACTCTACTTAGACAAAGGGTTTTAAAAGAGGTTTTAACTTAAAATAAGGACATTAGGGGGAGCTCTAACCCAATATGACGTGTGTCCTTACTCAAAGAAGGGAGATTAGGGGTAATGTCAGCAAGATGGCAGAATAGGAAGCTCCAGACTTCCTTCCCCTCATGGACACATCAATTCACCAACAATACATGAATCCGTTTTCTTTGTGAAAAATCCAGAGATCGCTTGAGGGGATCCTGCACCCCAATTGAGTATGACACCAGCTGCATTGAAGCCAGTAGGAAAATTCATGGCACCATCTTGCCACAGGAGATGACTGAATTGTACCCCCAACATTCTAACATTTTGAGGGTCTGCCTGAGGGACTGGGTTTTTGTCATGCCTGAGAATGGGCACTAATGGGCAGGTGCCACATGTTGGGGGTCACTGAGAACAAAGGGGATGGATCTGACCAGCACACACTCTCTGCCCATTGGCCTTTCCCCACTTTAGCACAGAGCAAATGAAGAACAAATGGTGCAGCAGCCATAGAATACAGTAAGGAGTTTCCTCAAAAAATTAAAAATGGGCCCTGGCCACGTGTGGCTCAGTTGGTTGAAGCATTGTCCCAGACACTGAAAGGTTGTGGGTTTGATTCCCAGTTAGGGCACCTGCATTGTGGGTTCTATCCCTAGTTTGGGAGAGTGTGAGAGGCAGCTAATAGGTGTTTTGCCCTCACACCTCTCTCTCCCTTCCCTTCTCTCTAAGCATATCTTTGGGTGAGTATTAGAAAAAAATTTTTAAAAAATTAAAAATGGAACTACCTTATGACCCAGAGATTCCACTTCTGGGAACATATCTAAAGAAACCCAAAGCACTAATTCAAAAAATATGTGCACCCCTATGTTCATTGCAGCATTATTTACAATAGCCAAGATTTGGAAGCAACCAAAGTGTCCATCGGTAGATGAGTGGATAAAAAAGCTGTTGGTACATTTACACAATGGAATACTATGTGGCTATAAAAAAGAAGGAAATCTTATTCTTTACCACAGCATGAATGACCTGGAAATTACTATGCAAAGTGAAATAGGCCAGTCAGAGAAAGACAAATACCACATGAATTCACTTATATGTGGAATCTAATGAACAAAATAATTTAGCAAAATAGAAACAGAAGCATAGATGCATAGAACAGTCTGACAGCTGTCAGATGGGAGGGGTTTTGGGGAGCTGGGTGAATAAAGGTGAAGGGATTAAGCAAAAATATATACATATGACAAATAAACATGGGCAAAAGTATGGTGATAGCAAGAGTAAAAGGTGGGTGGGGGGAGGTGGAGGTGGGCAAAGGAGGATAAATGGATGCAAAGAGACTTTGCTTTGGGCGGTGAGCACACGATGCAGTGTGCAGATGATGTTTTATTGGTTGCACACTTGAAACCTGTCTGTTTTTTAAACCAATATCACCCCAAAATTCAACAAGAAAAGTTTATTAATACTGTACTTCAGGAAATTATTCAGAACTGAACACAAGAGAAAGTACATGGAACAGGTGTAACACAGGAGTGGCATGATTTCATTTGTGTTTTGAAAGGATCCCTCTGACTTCTGTGTATAGAGGCATTGGAAGGTGACAAGAGTAGGAAGGGGTAGTCAGTCAGAAGGGAATTGCAGTGGTACAGACATGAAGATGGCAGCCTGGCTCGGGGGGGTGGGGGGGGTGATGGAGACTGAGCCATCTGGCACATACTGAGAAGAAAAGAACAACAAAGCTGTATAATTGATAGGTTTTAGTGGGAAATAAGATAACTGTGGAGTGACCTTCAGGTTTCAAACTTGCGCAAGGAATGGATGTAGTGCCATTCAGAGAGAGAAAGACACCATGGAAAAGGATGGGATTAGGGTAAAGATGGTGAGTCATAAATTGGAAGGCTGAGTTTAAGGTGCCTTGGTAATATCAAAGATGTCAAGTAACTGGAAATACTCCTCTAGTTCTCAGAGCTAGAGAAACGTATGTGGCCATCATTTGCATCTACATGGTGACTGACCCTAAGGAATGAATTCTATTGTCTAGGAAGAAATAATTTAATGAGAATTTAAATTGTTCTGGACTCAATCCATTGGTTGAAGCTATAACAGAAACAAAGAGAGAAAAGCTAATGGTGGAGATATAATGGAGAAAGACATGGAGGAGGGGCATGTGAATAGATTCTAGATAGATAAGGATGGAGTGTTTCATTAGAAAGAGTGATAGTTAAAAAGTTTCTGCAAGGATTTTAGGGACAGAGATCATTGTAAACCTAAGAGATATTTGCTTTGGTGGAATGATGGGGGAAAGAAGCCAAAATATATGAATTGAGGGAATGAATTTGAGGGAATGAATTTAAGGCAATGAAACAGAGACAGAGAAAAATCAGCTCTTGGCTGGTAGCTAGAAGAAAATGGTAGGCCAAGTGGTACATGTTTGTAAGATGGAAAATATAAAACATGTTGCTACAACATTGGGAAGAATGCTTTTGAGAAAGTGAGGGAAGAATGAAGGGCATAAGGGTGGGAGAAAACAAAGAGGGAGGAGAGAGAATGTGTCAACAATAGTGCAAAAGTAATAGATAAGGCAAGAATGACGGGATTCAAAATGAAGGTGAAAGTTGTCTTCAGAGAGAAGGGAAATGGTGTGAATGATATGGCAATGTGGAGAAGGTGCATGCTAATGTATGCGTGGTTGAGAGGGTACAGTTCACAGAGTCATCACAATGACTCAGATTTTCTCTGTGGAATATATGGTACAAATATTTGCTGAGAAAGGGAAAGGGGATAGAAGATTCAACTGTGAAACCAGTGCTTGTGGAAGATGAGTGAACAGGTGAAAGATATACAGGACTTCCTGGGAGTATACTAGACTTCTTTTTAAAAAAATTATTTTAAAATATGTTTTTATTATTTGAGAGAGAGTGAGGAAGGTAGAGGGATAGAGAATGAGAAACATTTATCGGCTGACTCCTGCATGCCCCCTACTGGGGATCAAACCCGCAACTCAGGAGTGTGCCCTGACCAGGAATTGAACCAGGGACCTCTTGGTTCATGGGTCAATGCTCAACCACTGAGCCACAGTAGGCGGGCATAGTAGGCTCCTTTAAATGGGGAAGAAGATGCAAGGCGTTTAATGGAAGATGGAAGAAGAGGTGAGAAACTGTAAGTAAAAGAACTTTCTATGTCTAAAAATTTTTTTAAAAGAACTTGGTAAATCTAAACCACTGGTGGTTCTTAGTAATCATTGCCATGAATTATCTGATGCAATGATGCCTTTTCCTTCCTGGTTTTACAGTGGATGGAGGGTGCCGAAAATATCAGGAAGCCTTTAAGTCTAAAGTGCTAGCTAACACTTATTTCCATTTAATTCTTAAATATGTACATCATTTCCCCCATTTTTGCCTTTTTCTTGTGTAGTGCTGAGTGACTACGAGATAGAGATGGATGAAAAGGGTAAGATATTGTGGGTCTGAGTGCAACGGGCATCCCTGCTTCAGATAATTGATTCTTGCTTATTTAGTTAACCATGCATGGCACAGGGCAGGTGTTCAATAAGAGTGCTAATGTGTAAAAGTCAAGATGAACACTGCTCCTCAGGAGTAAGAGCAAAATATATATTTTCTAAGTGATACCATTGCTAATGGTTAAGGAATCAGAGAGTAAATTCAGTGGGAGCCATCCTAGGGCATCACCTGCTATGTACCCAGGTCTTCCAGTGTGTTGGCATGAGGTACTCTATCAGTTAGTGAAGTGCTCTGGGAGCAATGCATGACCTTACCACACTGTGTTTAGGGGCATCTGACTGGATTCCGCTGGAGAGGGTGTATTGCTCAGACTCTGTTTTGATTTTTCTGACGCCCTTCCAGCATTTCCTGTATTGCTCCCGGACCTGCAGAGACAAAGCATGCTCTGAGTCAGCTCACTGAGAGGACTGTGAATGGAACGAGTCCTGGGTGGGAGGTGGACAGTGGTACCTGCTGGCTGAGGAGACAGTACACCAGGAAGATGAAGACGCCCTGCAGGCTGTTGATGATGGTGAAGAGATAGGCCATGGCATGAGCAGCTGGACCCACCTGCAGGATTCCCAGACACCACGTGCAGCCCAAGATGAAGAGCTGAGCTATCGCTTTAAATGTCAGCATCCTGGGTTGGAGGAGAAGAGAGGCCCATATGCACCCAGAACAACAGAATCAAGACCATTCTCATCTCCACCCAATGAATACTCCTGCCTTCCCCTGTGGGTGGTGAGTTCACAAACAGACTTGAGTTTAGCTTTGACCTTTACTGTCAATGATTCTCCACAATAGAAATGCTACTTGGGTCCAGGATGGCATTTGGATTGAAATGAGTAGGGTTGTGACACTTCATAATGTAAGTTTCAAAAAAAATTTTTATAATGCTCCATGGTGATGCCTAATTTTATCTAACCAACATTACGTGTGTTCTGTGCATCAGGCTGTGTGCTTGAGCCTGGGCATTATAAGTCACAGAGGCAAGATTTCTATTTTCATAAAGCTCACAGGCTATTCCAATGACTAGTACAGAGGAATAATGACATGCAAGATGTAGAAAGGACACTGGAGAGGGGTGAGAGGGAGCCTGACTGAGAGTGGGTATGGAAGGATAGACTGGGTTGTGGGAGGAGTCACAGATCTTTCTAAGTGAACACAGGTTCTTTGCACTTTTGTTTTAGGACTGCTGACAAAAGGCCAAAGAGTGTTTATCAACCAATGTCAATTCTTCCTGTTGCTGAGGGAGTTACAAGATGGGATTTGAAACAGAACATTGTAGCTGGGAAGTCAGCTGACTACCACTGAATCCGAGCTGGCTGCCATTGGAGGTCAGCTGCATCTCTTTACTCTGGGTTCCCTCAGAAGACCCCGAGAAGGGACATCAGGGCTGCTGAGGCACATGGATTTGCTCTTGGGACCACACATGTCTGTGGGGTTGTCACCCTCTTCTCCATTTTACCTTGTATTCTTGAGGGTGGACACATCACTGTTGAGCGAAGAGAGTTTGCTTTTCAAAATCCAGAGCGTCATCAGAAAGAAAGCTAGATTGACCTTCAGGAAAACACACAAGGTTTAGTGAATAAAATTTTAGTTTGTTATCTCTACTCTAGCCCGTCCAACAGAAATTCCACATTTAAGTATTTTTCATATTTAATAACAGTGTTAGAGCTTGTAGTTTTAGGAGGAGTCTTAGAAAACCAAAGCAAACCCAAGACAATACAGGGACATTCTTGCTCATGTCATCCTCCCGCCACCTTATAATCCTATTGACCCTCAGCTGAGTGTTAAGGATGCTCTGATGTCTTCACTCACAAAGAGGATGGCGCAGACTGGTCCAAGGAAGCCCCATATAAATCCCTTTTCTGGGTGGAGCCAGCAGCTAAGAAAGAGAGAATTAAAAATGCATTGGTCCTTAGAAATGTAGAATAATTATGCAAATTCATTCATTAATTCATTCATCAACAAACACTGAATGTCTCTTCTGTGATAAGCTCTGTTCTTGCCTCTGAAGATACCATCATGAAGAAAGTACACATGGCCTTTAATCCTACACATCTCACAGACACACAATGAGACACACTGCAACAATAAAACAAAAATGGAAAGCTAACGCTCTATCCATTGAGCCAAAGCAGTTAGGACTGAATTTTTTAATTTATGGCTTTTTTGAGAGGTAGCTCACATATCATAACATTCACTCATTTTACTGTACAGTTCAGTGACCTTTAAAATATTCATAGAGTTGCCCTAGCTTGTTTGCCTCAGTGGATAGAGCACTGGCCTGTGGATTGAAAGGGCACATGCCCAGGTTGCAGTCTTGATCCCCAGTAGGGGGCATGCAAAAGGCAACCAATCAATGATTCTCATCATTGATATTTCTGTCTCTCTCTACCTCTCCCTACCTCTCTGAAATCAATAAAAATATATTTCAAAAAAAAATCATAGTGTTGTGTGATCATCACCACAATCTAACTTTAGAACATTTCGAACTCCTCTAAATGAAACTCATTCAGATCACAGAGGAGAAACCAAGATGGCAGCATAGGTAAACACTGGAGATTGCTGCCTCGCACAACCACTTCAAAAATACAACTAAAAGATGGAACGGACATCATCCAAAACCACAGGAAGGCTGGCTGAGTGGAAATTCTACAACTAGAAGGAAAGAGAAGAGCATACCGAGACTCAGAGGAGGTGTGGTGCAGAAGTAAAATACAAAGGTGTGGAGGTGCATGCGGAGAGGGCTGGCAGCTGAGGTCATGATTGTCTTTTTCAATCGGGAGGGAGTCTCAGGCTCTGAGCTCCAGTTCTGGGCAAGTCTCTGGGGACCCAGACTCACACGGGAGAAACGGGACTGTCTGGCATCAGTCGGAACTCGAGGGCAGCTTTCTCTCGGAGGCACACGAAGTGATTTCGGGGACCTCTGAGGACAGGACTGAGAGCAGCCATACTGCTCGCTCCTCCCGCCCAGTTGATCCCCTGGGGCTCCGCCCCGCCCAAGCCATGCACGGAGGCTTTTGCATATGAAAGGCCCGGCCCTTTGTAATCTGAAAATTACTTAACAAACTGCAGTTGCCCAAGGCCCCAGGGCAACTTGCATTGCTTTACAGCTGACTTCTGCAGGGTAGCCTCAGGCAGAGGCTAGATTAGCATCTCCATGGATCCAAGAGCCAGTGTACCCAGTGGTTAGAGTGGGACCATCCAATTATCTCCGCAGATCCATAAGGGACACACTTAGGAGGCAGACTCAGTGAGCATCAAAGCCCCACTGAAGCAAGTCTTGCCCCATAAAGGTGCCTTCAGCACAGAAGTTCTCCCACCGTAGACACAGCTGATTCTCACAGCCAATTGGTCTGGAGGTCAATCCCTCCCAGTGTTACCTACAACAATCAAGGCTTAACTACAACAAGACTGTGCACAAAGCCCACAAGGGGGTGGACCAAGAGTGTCTACCTCAGGTAATTGGGGAAGCTGAGCCACCGGGCCCTATAGGACACTTAGCACAGAAAGCCACTCTATCGACACAGTGAAGCATAAAAAATGCGGAGACAAAGAAACAGGTCACAAATAACAGAAACGGAGGAAAGCAAACTACTGGATATAGAGTTCAAAACCACACTTTTAAGGTTTTTCAAGAACTTTCTAGAAACCGCCGATAAATGTAGTGAGATCCTCAAGAAATCTAGTGAGACCCTGGATGTTGTGATAAAGGACCAACTAGAAATTAAGCATACACTGACTGAAATAAAGAATATTATACAGACTCCCAACAGCAGACCAGAGGATCGCAAGAATCAAGTCAAAGATTTGAAGTACGAAGAAGCAAAAAACACCCAACCGGAAAAGCAAAATGAAAAAAGAATCCAAAAATACAAAGATAGTCTATAGAGCCTCTGGGACAGCTTCCAGAGTACCAAATCCGAATTATAGGAGTGCCAGAAGAAGAGAGAGAGCAAGATATTGAAAACCTATTTAAAAAAATAATGGCAGAAAACTTCCCCTACCTGGTGAAAGAAATAGACTTCCAAGTCCAGGAAGTGCAGAGAACCCCAAACAAAAGGAACCCAAAGAGGACCACACCAAGACACATCATAATTAAAATGCCAAGAGCAAAAGACAAAGAGAGAATCTTAAAAGCAGCAAGAGAAAGACAGTCAGTTACCTACAAGGGAGTACCCATACGACTGTCAGCTGATTTCTCAACAGAAACTATGCAGGCCAGAAGAGAGTGGCAAGAAATATTCAAAGTGATGAATACCAAGAACCTATAACCAAGATTACTTTATCCAGCAAAGCTATCATTCAGAATTGAAGGTCAGATAAAGAGCTTCACAGATAAGAAAAAGCTAAAGGAGTTCATCACCACCAAACCAGTATTATATGAAATGCTGAAAGGTATCCTTTAAGAAGAGGAAGAAGAAGAAAAAGGTAAAGATACAAATTAGGAACAACAAATACACATCTATCATCAAGTGAATCTAAAAATCAAGTGAATAAATAATCTGATGAACAGAGTGAACTGGTGATTCTAATAGAATCAGGGACATAGAAAGGGAATGGACTGACTATTCTTGGGGGGGGGGGGAAGGGGTGTGGGGGATGCGGGAAGAGACTGGACAAAAATCGTGCACCTATGGATGAGGACAGTGGGTGGGGAGTGAGGGCGGAGGGTGGGGCGGGAACTGGGAGGAGGGGAGTTATGGGGGGAAAAAAGAGGAACAAATGTAATAATCTGAACAATAAAGATTTAATTAAAAAAAAAATCCCCACAAAACTCATTCATACTAGCAGTCACTCCTCATTCCTGCTTCCATGCACCCCACCGCCCACCATAGCACCACAGCAACAGTAATCTACTTTTTGTCTCTATGGATTTGCCTATTTTGGACATTAATGGAATTGTAAAATAAAATATTTTATGACTCAATTCTATCACCTAGCATGTTTTCAATCAAGGTTCATCCATGTTGCAGCATGTTTTAATGGCTAAATAATCTTTTCTTAAAATTCTTATATTATTTTTGTTGTTATTACTCACCCGAGGATATTTTTCCATTGATTTTTTAGGGATAGTGGAAGAGAGAGGGAAAGACAGAGAGAAACATCAATGTGAGACAAACACATCGAATGGTTGCCTTCTGCATGTGCTCCAGGCCAGTGCCTGGGAGGACCCTTCAACCAAGGTACGTGCCCTTGACCTGAGTCGACCCAGGACCCTTTGGTCTGCAAGCCCATGCTCTATTTACTGAGCCAAACTGACTAGGGCTGTCTTTTTATTTTAACCCTTTAATCTAATGCTGTGAAGTGACATCTCATTTTGATGTTATTGATTTTCATTTTCCTGATGACTGATAATGTTTAGCAACTTTTCATACACTGACTGGTCATTTACATTATCTTGGGAGAAATGTCTATTCAGATCTTCTGTCCATTTTCATTTATTTATATTTTATGTATTTAATTCTTTAAAAAATTTTTAAATTGGTTTTAGAGAGGAAAGGAGAGGGAGAGAGAGATAGAATCACCCATGATGAGACAGAATTATCCATCGGCTGCCTCCTGCACGCCACACACTGAAGATTGAGCCTGCAACCTGGGCATGTGCCCTGACATGGGAATCAAACCCAGGGCTTCGTTGTTCTCAGTTCAACACTCAACCACTGAGCCACACCGGCTAGGCTATTTAAATCTTTATTGTTGAAAATATTACATAGGTCCTCTTTTTCTTTTGTCCATTTTTAAATTGGGTTGTCTTTTGTTGTTGAGTTGTTCACTTAATTTTAACAACAGTGCAAAACAGAAGTTCTCTTATGTTTACAGGTTTGTAACTGAAGTGTAACGGGCTTAAGTCTGTTGCTTAAGGTTTTACTGATAAACAGTGACAGAATTCACTCTTGATCCACATGAGGGTAAGAACAGGGGTGGGCAAAAGTAGGCTTACAGTTGTGTGTATGTGAAACAGTTTATTCTTGGTTCAATTATTTATTAATTATTGTATTATTTTCCATACCAACAATTGTAAACCTTCTTTTGCCTACGCCTGTACAGAGGACATTTCAGGTCAATGAAGAGTGTAGTAGGGCAGTGAAATATACATTGAGAAAAATGTAAGCAGGAAAGAACTGATGTGTCCAAGAAGGAATCTCTCTAGAGTTGAGCTGATGCAGGCGCACGTAAGTTTGAGCAGCATGTTGTGGGTAAGAGTGCAGCTTCTGCGAGACTGATTTCCTGAATGTAAGTGTGCAGACTTGCTCTCCTTCTAAAAACAACAAATGCTTAAGCAAAACAACTAAGACCAACCATTTCAAAACTCTGACAACTACCCAAAGCCACAGAACAAACTGAAATAGTCCATCTGAGAGAAACTGCCGAAGCTTGGTAAGATTGGTGGGGAAGGACTCTGTGGTGTTTCAACTCTGAACTCTTTCCACTCCTTCTCTCCCCAGCTTAGTGGTGAGGCCGCCAAAAGCTGATAGCATTGCAGACAACAGGGAGAGCTGACATTTTTTGGAGCTTCTTTGAAAGCATCATCATTATCCCCAGAGCACAGTCAGTATTTTTTTCTGACCCTTTAGTTCTCCAGGAACCCTGTCTTCTCCAAATTTGGTGTATATTTTATTCCACTGAAAGCTCATCTCAGTGAGAGACAAAACAGCCTGCCCCTAGGGCATTGTCAAAATCACTGCCTAAGGCTGTGATTTCAGGTGGTGTCATCAAGAACTTGTCTAAGGCCCTGGCTGGGTGGCTCAGTTGGTTGGTGTGTGGTCCCAATGCACCAAGGTAGCAGGTTCAATCCCAGGTCAGGGCACATACAAGATTCAACCAATAAATGCATAAATAAATGGAACAAAAAATTGATCTCTCATTCTCCCTCTCTCTCTTTCTTTCTCCAACCCCCACATTTTTAAAAAATACATACTTGTATTTTTGTTGTTCTTAATCCTCACCTCAAGGATATTTTTCCATTGATTTTTAGAGAGAGTGGAAGGGAGCAGGAGAGGCAGAGAGACAGGGAGAAACATCAATGTGAGAGGGAACACATCGATTGGTTGCCTCCTGCAGGCACCCTCAACCAAGGCCTGGGAATCTGCAACCAAGGTAGGAGCCCTTGACCAGAATTGAACCTGGGGCACTTCAGTCCTTGGGCCGTCGCCGTATCCACTGAGACCAGCCAGCCAGGGCTCAACGCCCTCATTTGTATGTCTTCTTGGGAGAAATGTCTATTCAGGTCCTCTGCCCATTTTTTTTTTAGATTGTCGTTGTTGTTGTTGTTGAATTGTATGAATTCTTTATATATTTTAGATATTAACCCCTTATCAGAAGTGTTGTTTGCAAATACCTTCTCCCATTCAATGGGTAGCCTCTGGATATCTATCCAAAAATTTTTAAAATATTTATTCACAAAGATATGTGCATGACTACGTTCATTGCAGCATTATTCATGGTGGACAAGACATGGAAACAACCAAAGTGTTCTTCGATAGATGGTTGGATAAAGAAGATGTACTTATTATATACAATGGAACACTACTCCGCCATAAGGAAACATGAAGTTCTGTCTTTGTGCAACATTGATGGATCTTGAGAATATCATGCTAAGCGATACAATTCAGGCAGAAATAAATCAAGAATCCTATGATTTCACTCATATGTAAGATACAAAACTGAAAGCAAGAAATGAACAAACAAGACAAGCAAACAAACAAAAAAATCATAGACACAGACAACAGTATGCTGGTTACCAGAGGGAAAGAGGGGTGGGAGGAGGTAGTAAAGGGTAAAGGGGGAAATACAGGTTGATGGAAGGAGATTTGACTTTGGATGGTAAACATACAATGCAATATACAGATTATGTATTATAGAACTGTACACTTAAAACATATATAATGTTATTAACCAATGTCACCCCAATAAATATAATTCAAATATTTTAATTTGTACATGTATGCTTATAGCAGCATTTTTCATCGTAGTAAAAAAATGGAAACAATCAAAGTGTTTATCATCTGTTGGATGGATAAAAAATGTGATATATCTATATAATGGAATATTATTTACAAACAACAATACCAGCAACAACAACAATTCTAGGTGAGGCCTGGAAGCTGCAGAAATGGCCACAACACAGATGGGACCCCATAGCCCACAGGTCATGATGCTTGCTACAACATCATGAACCTTGAACACATTAAACCTAGTGTAAAAAGCTGACAATAAAAGAGTGCAAGCTCTGGAGAATGACTCCCTTGATTTGAATCCCAGTTCTGCTACTTACTAGCTGTTCCCCTTTGGGCATTTATTTAAACTCTTTGTGCCTCAATATACTTATCTGTAAAATGGGTAAAATCACAGTGTCTAGTTCACAGTATTGGTGTGAAGATGAATTGTGTTAACTAAGATACAAATGGTTAAAAAAAATGCCTGGTACAGCCTGGCTGGTATGGGTCAGTGGATTGAATATCATCCTATGCACTGAGAGGTTGCTGGTTTGATTCCTAGGACACATGCCTGGGTTGTGGGCTCCATCACCAGTAGGGGCCACACAGGAGGCAGGCCATCCATTTTTCTATCTCTCTCTTTTCCCTTCCTCTGTCTCTAAAAATCAATAGAAACATATTTTTAAAAAAAGAGATACAAAAGTGCCTGGCTCAGTCCAGTCAGCATGGCTCAGTGGTTGAGCATCGACCTATAAACCAGAAGGTCATGGTTTGATTCCAGGTCAGGAGGTCACAGTTTGATTCTCGGTTTGTGGGTTCAATTCCCAGTGTGGGGTGTGCCTCAGGAGGCAGCCAATCAATGATTAATGTTTCTCTCTCATCATTGATGTTTCTCTCTCTCCCTCTCCCTTTCTCTGTGAAATAAATATTTTAAAAAGTGTCTGGCACAGAGTAAGCACCATGTAGATCTCAACTATGTTACAATCTATAGTTCAGATTATTTAAATCAGTTCTATTTTTCCAAACTAAAATTAGGAACAACCTGTACTATATGAGGTAGGTTGAATGGTTTATAATGATGTCCTAAGCACCTTTTTTCATGACACCTTTGTTATTTCAAGGAGAGTTTTAGAGACATTCTTCTTAATTATTATAAACTAGAGGCCCCGTGCATGACATTTGTGCACTGCGGGGGGTGGGGGCGGTCACTCGCAGTCTGAGAGCTCTCGGGGGATGACCGACTGCTGGTTTAGGCCTGCTCCCCTAAGCTGGCAATTGGACATCTCCTCAAGGGTCCTTAGCGCTGCCATGGAGGCAGGAGAGGTCAGTGGGAGCGCATTGACCACCAGGGTGCAGCTCCTGCGTTGAGCATCTGCCCCCTGGTGGTCAGTGCGCATCATAGCTACTGGTAGCCCCACTGTTTGGTTTATTTGCATATTAGCATTTTATTATATAGGCATCAGAAAGATGCCCTAAGCATCATCACTTATTGTCTCTATTCATATGATCTGTCATAATCAGAATGCTATGTTGGTTCCACAAAGCCATGCTCCTGGGGAAGAAGAAAAAGAAGCGGGAATTTGCCCTTACCGAGCAGGTGTTCCATAAAGGTGAGGCCTGGATGCTGCAGAAATGGCCACAATCACAGCTGGGACTCCATAGCCCACAGGAAGCATGAACTTCTTCATGAACCTGCGCACACTCGAGTAGTTGACCACCGTCAGGTTGCGTGTGGTGAGAAAGAGGTGCAGGCCCTCCAGCAGCATCCAGGTGAAGGAGGCCAGGTAGAGATAGTGTAAGGCACCCGCGATGATGGCGCACAGCACCTGGGGGAGGGGTGAGAGTCACCAGGTGGGATTGTCAGGGTGGAGCATGGCCCCAGGACCTCTCCTATACCTTGGCATTTGGGAGAACTCTGCTGTATAGGAAGGAATTGTCAAAAGAAGGTGTGATTTCTAGTTGGGTCAGTCAATGTAACATTGGCTACTTACCCCTCTAACCTTCCCCAAACCCAAAGTCATTTTATTAAGGTGTCCAATGCAAGTGCACTCCTCATTCCATGGTCAGGGCATGCATCGTTTGGGACAGTGTCGGTACCTTAGGCTCAGTTCTGTCGATGGCCGTGAGGAAGAGCAGGTGGGCCAGGAAGAGGCAGATTGAGAGCTGCAGGTGGAGTGAGGTGCTGGTGTTCTGGATGGCTTTGCACAGCAGGAAGGTGAGGGCCGCCAGGAGGAGGCACAGCAGAGAGAGGCTCAGCCCCACGTAGGTGATCACAGCCAGGGCGGGATCATCATCCTGGGACCCAGGAAAGAGGAGAGAGCAGTCACACTCTCCTAATCTGGGTTAATGACCCTTCTACCATTTTCAGTTTTGGCAGAGTTCAACAAAATTAGGAGTGGAGGAGCCAGGTGAATTTGTGATGTTTATGGACACCGTTAGAATTCTAGGGGGTTCTGAACTGATTCATTCAGATCCTGTAAACACTGAGGGATAAGAGAGTCCTCATTCAGGACCAAGCCCTGGAAATCAAGATTTTCCTTCATGACTAAGCTTATAGGTTATCATGTGACAGTCACAGAGACACACGATCCCCTGTTGAGCATCATCCTCCATCCGCATGAAGTGATACTGTGTGACAGAGTCTGTATCAGGAGACTCGATGTCCAGGGATCAACTCCCCACCTTGGACTTACCTCATCCCTGCAACACCTGTTCCTTACAGATTTAGATCCTTGGTTAAGGAAAGATAAGTACTGATGATGGTGGTAGCTTAAAATTAATATTTCCAGCCCAATTTTTTATTATTTATTTTAAAAAATGTATTTGTATTGATTTCAGAGAGGAAGGGGGAGGGACAGAGAGAGAGATAGAAACATCAAGGATGAGGGACAATCATTGATCGCTGCCTCCTGCACAACCCCTACCAGGGATTGAGCCCATAACCCGGGCTTGTGCCCTTCATCATACTCAAACCCAGGACCCTTCAGTCCGCATGCTGATTCTCTGTTCTCTGAGCCAAACTGGCTAGGGCTCCTGACTATTTTTTAAAGATTAAAATTGTTCCTGCCTGATTTTTCAAATCATCTTAAATCCATAAGGAGAACTTAAAAAATATTAATTTTATTGTACGTATGTGTGAGAGAAAAAGAGGGATGGGGAGAGAGAAAAACAGAAATGTGAATATGATGAAGGAAGTGGAGGACAGCAATCCTCAGATGAGATGCTTGTGTATGACCCTGACGGGACAACCCAGGTGCACCATGTTTATTTATTGACTCACATAAATTGCAGAATAATAAATTATGTTTTTTTAGGTGCAACATGCATGGGAGTTTATTACATAGCAATAGACATTGAACAAAGTCCCTTCTCAAGGCTCTCACCTGCACATCATAGTGGGCCATGAGGACAGCAAAGCTGCTGAGGTGGCTGCATTGGCAGGTGGTGCTGGTGTCTCCGGTGCCCACCATCCAGCAGCCTTTGGTGGACCAATGATCACTTCCATTCTGGCCAGGCTCCCAGAAGACACAGAACACCTTCTGCCTTGGCCCTAGGGTCACTGACTGTAGGAACAGGGCAGGGTGTGAGCTGGTGTTTCTCTTGCTCAGAAATGCTGACCCAAATCCTGCTTGTGATGGGCATTCCTGGGGAGATGATGCACCCATGCGAAAGGCCCTGAACCCCAAGACTGTGTCCAGGACTCAGGCCTCTTCCACACCCACAGCCTTGTTTCACCACCACTCACATGCTTGAAGACAAAGGTAACTGGGGAGCTGAGGTTCTGAGTGTCCGTATTGCTGACAAAGGCTGTTATGACATCTGAGAGCAGGACGGGGGAGACTTCCTGCAGCAGGCCCTTGTGTGTCTCATGCAGAACTGACTGCTCCTCAGTTTCCCGGACCAGGGGGGCCCCAACCAGCAACTTGCCCATCCCTGGAGAGGAGACAAGGCCCACCACAGAAGGGCCTACAAGACAAGGACAAGGTTGACATCTTGGGTTGTCCCAAAGGCCCCCTTCCTTCTGGGATGCATTCTCTCCTTTGACCCACCACAGCCCATACTTCCCTTTAATATTTAATTCTCTGTTTGTCACGTCCATGGGTGTCTTATTCCACTTGAAGCCTCATTGACCTTCTCTTCACCTCAGTCATTACCTGAGCCACCTGAGTCCTGCACCACATCCCAGTTCACCAGCATCTTTGCCTGATTAACACTCAGGGTGACATTCTTGTCTCCTTGCTTCTTCACCTCCAGGGACAGTTCTATGAGTTGTGGGAGTTACATAAGGGAATTAGACTAGTAACTGTGCCAGCAGTTGTAGCTATAATACCATTTTATTGTATAGATATCTTTTATATATATTATGTTACACTATATATCAAATGTTATCAGTAATATTATTATAGGTATACCAAATAATGCCATATATATGTTATAATAAGGCACATATTTTGTATACATAAGAATGACATATATATATACCAATCTGAATTTTCAAAGGATTATCAGAGAAACGACAAATTATATAACCTGAATAAAATAAACAAATTTCCACAGACCCATGAACTATAAAAGTAACTGAAGAACTAGAGTGTGAACAGACCTGTCACAAGTAAGGAGATCAAATCTGTAATCAAAACTTTCTAAATGAAAAGTTCAGACCTGAATTCGACTAACCATTTAAGGAAGAGTTAACACCAATTCTTGTACACTCCTAAAAAATAGAATGAAAGGGAACACTGAATAATTTTATGAGGCCACAATTACTCTAAAAACCAAACTAGAAAAAAATATCAAAAGAAAACAAAACAATAGACCATTAACTCTTATGAACATAGGTGCAAAAATCTTCAACAAAATATTAGCAACAAAGTTATCCAAGAAGGCTCAAGACTTGTCCACTGAAAACTAAAAAATATTGCTAAAGAAATTTAAAAACCCTAAATAAATGGAAAGGTATCCTGTGATTATGAATTGGAAGACTTCATATTTTAAACATGGCAAGATTCCCAAAAGTGATCTACAGATTCAATGCAATACTAACAATATTCCAAAAGCATATTTTTGTTTGCAAAAATGGAAAAGCTCATCCTAAAATTCATATGGTATTGAAAGCGGCCCCAATACCCAAACAGTATTTGAAAATGAAAAACAAAGTTGGAGAACTCACACTTCCTGATTTCAAAATGTATTACTAGTATACAGTAACCAGAGCAGTATGGTACTGCCATATGAGTAGACATGTGTACCCTCAAAATAAAATTGAGAGTCCAGAAATAAACCCATTTATTTATGGTTAACCGATTTTCAACAGAATCCTTCAATGAGGGAAAGAATAGTCTCTCCCGTAAATGGTGCTGGGGCATCTGGCTCTGCACAAGCGAAAAAAGGAAGATGGACTCACACCTCACACAATACACAAAAATCGGGTCAAAATGGGTCAAAGACCTACATTTAAGAGCTAAAAATAGAGCAGTTAGGCACAGCCCCTGTAGTTCAGTGATTGAGCATTGACCCAGGAACCAAGAGGCACCCTCCTCCCCGGCTTGTTTGGTTCCGGGACAGGGCACATGCCTGGGTTGCAGGCTCTATCTCCTGTGGTGTGTGTGCAGGAGGTAGCCAATCAATGATGTTTCTCTTTCATTGATGTTTCTCTCTATCCCTCTCCCTTCCTCTTGATCTAAAAAAATCAATAAAAATGTTAAAAACATTACCCCCCTCCTCCCAGCCCCTACACCCACCCATGAGGTTTCACTACCCTATTGCCCATGGGCTATGCATATAAGTATATAGGTTCTTTGGTTTATCTCATCATTGGTGTTTCAATCTCTCTCTCCTTCTCCCTCTCCCTCTCTCTGAAATCAACAAAACCATATTATGGAGAAAAGAAATAGAGGTGATGGCTGTACAACTCTGAATGTATTAAATGCAACTGAATTGTACACTTTAATTAAAATGGTGGATTTTATGTTATGTGAAATTCACCTCAAAAAACTCACTTAAATATCAGATAATATTAAGTTGTATTCCTCCAAATTTAATGATTTGTTTTCTTTTGAGGCCATTTCTATTTTATCTTAATTTATTTATTACTAGAGGCCCAGTGCACAAAATTCATGAACTGTGTGTGTGGGGGGGTCCCTCAGCTCAGCATGAACCATCTCCAATCTGGGACCCCTCGGGGGATGTCTGACTGCCGGTTTAGGCCTGATCCCTAAACTGACAGTCAGAAATTCCTCTCACAATCTGGACTGCTGGCTCCTAACCACTCACCTGCCTGCCAGCCTGATCACCCCATAACTGCTCCTCTGCCAGCTTGATTGACACCTCACTGCTCCCCTGCCAGCCTGATCGCCCCCAACTGCCATCCCCTGCCAGCCTGGTCATCCCCAACTGCCCTCCTCTGCCAGCCTGTTCACCCCCAATTGTCCTCCCCTGCTGGTCATCTTATGATAAAATGGGGGCAGCCATCTTGTGATGATTGGGGGCAGCTATTTTGTGACAAAGTGAGGGTGTGAGGGTCAATTTGCATATTATCTCTTTATTATATAGGACTAGAGGCCAGGTGCACAAAATTCGTGCACTGGAGAGGGTGTCCCTCAGCCCAGCCTGCACCCTCTCCAATCTGGGACATCCCTCTCACAATCTGGGACTGCTGGCTCCTAACCACTCGCCTGCCTTACAGCCTGATCACCCCTTAGTCGCTCCCCTGCCAGCCTGATTGACACCTAACTGATCTCCTGTTGGCCTGCTGGCCCCCAACTGACCTCCCCTGCCAGCCCGATTGCCTCCAACTACCCTCTCCTGCTGGCACAATCACCCCTAACTGCCCTCCCCTGCTGGCCTGGTTGCCCCAAACTGCCTGCCCCTGCTAGCCTGGTCGCCTCTAACTGCCCTCCCCTGCCGGCAGCCATCTTGTGAAAAAATGGGCACGGCCATCTTGTGAACACATGGGGGCAGCCATCTTTTGCAAGGGCGTGGCAGTTAATTTTCATATTAATGCTTTATTATATAGGATAATTATTTCATCTGCTGATAATTTATATTACAATGAAAATGTGTAGTATTGATAATTTTTTTTCATTTTCTTTTCATCTTTTATCTTAATATGTGTATGAGAGTAACAAGGAGGTACAAGTGTGATCATTCAGCTCTAGTGCGATGAGAAGAGGAATGAGGTGAGGAGCAGGCAGAGCAGAGCCTGGGGGCAGGCGGGGTTACTTGCCTGTTCCTGCAGCTGTCCTGAAGGTCAGGGTCCCATTGGACAAGGCCTTGCTCAGCTCTCTCAGGATGTGCTCCTGGCCAGTGAGCAGGTTAGTGGCCACACAGTACTGCTCTGAACGAGGCAGAGTAAACAGGTCCCCTGGGGTCTCCAGCAGATTATCCACCTCCTGTATGATGTCCTGGGGGGATGGGGACACAGAACCAGTGGATCTTGTGCCAGAGAAGGTTCAGGAAGATCCTGCCCACTCAGCTTCTGAGAACAGACCCTAGAACCTGTCTATTTGGGGACAAAGGTGGTACCCGATGGTATTCCCTGGGTCTTTGCTAGTGCAATCCACCACTCACAGGTCAACCCCTGGTCATGGCTACCAAGGACAATGCAAGCTCAGTGGCCAGAACAAGAGGAAAGGTGTTAATAGGTGTACATGGGTCTAACAGTGAGTACAAATACTTGGTCTGCTCTTCCCACCCACCCTGGGACAACGGGGCCTCAGAAAAGGGCGCCGTTGTGTTGGGTTCGGTCTCCTTCCAGACCAAGGCTTCCTTGGGTCTCTATGGGATGCCTCCACCTGCCTCCCCTGAGTCCTGTCCTTACCTGGATGGTGTCCTGGGCTGGAGCAGACTTGAAGTCTCTGCGCAGGTCCTGGACTCTTTCAAAGAAGCGAGAGAGACTCTGGGGAAATGAGATGGGGCCTTAGAGGGCCTCATGCATGTGTTGGGGAGTGTGGGGAAATGGGTGGATGGTGGGCTGAGAGTGGAGGGAACTTGCTTTCTGGTCCTGGTTGGAGTCACTCACCTGGCTCTTGATTTCAGGGGGTGGGGTCCAGGTGGGGAAGGAGATATCTGCAGGGGACAGAACAGCAGTTCATTAGGTGTGTGTGTATGAGTGTTTGTGTGTGTGTGTGTGTGTGTGTGTGTGTGTTGGAGGCAGGATCGAGGGTCAGGCCCTACTTTCACACTGAGTAGTCCTTTGTTTATTCAGGAATCAGGGCCCCTCTCCTCTCACCCCACTCCCTTCCCGTATCCAGCCCCCCTCCCTACCACGCCTTGGCTGGAGGTGATGACACCTGCTGACTGCACATCCCTGAGTGGCAGAAGCAGGGGTTATGGGAAGTGTGCAAATGCCTGACCCACAGCAGGTCAGCCCCCACAGAGGTACAGGTTGTGAGATATTAAATACCTTTGTCCCAGTTAGTAATTAGCTGCTGCCTGGGGTCCCCCAGGAGCCTTCCTCTTGGTACCCCAGCTCCTTCTGCAGGATCCCCAGATCTTTTCCCATTTAGTCTCAAAGAATGGAAGCCTGGCCCAGCAGGGCACCCCCAGCATTCATTGCACTGGGTTCGTGTGGCTGCCCATGAATATGTGATCAGGTGACTTCAGCTGTGGATCTTTGGGAATATGGGATCTTAACTCCAAACCTTGTTCACAGATGGTGTTGTGTGGGCCATTGGGGGACCCAGGAACCGGCTTCCAGCCAGGGCGACAGAGGCAGTCATAGCTGCCCTCGGTGTTGTGGCATTGGGTGGATTTGTGGCAGGAGTTTTGCCCCGAGGTACATTCATCCACATCTGAGGACAAACCAGAGAGAGTGTCAGGCCCTCCTTCTACTCCCTACACACAACCCTCCTGCCCCTTCTCTCAAAGTACACCAAAGACACCCCCACTACACCCTGCTTAACAGCCACCTAGTCCGACAGTATACACACTTGTGGTGACATTTTCCAGTGTAAAAGCACCATAAGCTCAGAGCGCTCCTGGAAGGTGGACAGGAGAGGACTGTGTGAGTGCAAGTGTCATCCCAAAGCTGTGCTCCCACCTGTGGGGCAGGATGGACTGGGGGAGGACCTGGGAGGCTGCCGCACTGATAGCTCCCATGCGCTGAGTCTGTGGGCTGTGGCACCGCCATGCACAGAGCTGCGCTCATGCCATTTTAGAACAGAATCTGATGCTCAGCCCTGCCCGGCCCAGGTCCCCTCTCCTCACTGCCTGCACTGGGCACACACCATTGCTGAAAGTGCTGCCCCTTCTCTGCCAAAGCTCCTTATGGCAGCTTCCTTTCAGATGGCTCAGCAAAGGAAAAATGATGTGGTTCTTTTATGGGATCTGAACTCCGAACCTTCACAGACGGTGTTGTGTGGGCCACTGGGGGACCCAGGAATAGGCTTCCAGCCAGGATGGCAGCGGCACTCATAGCTGCCCACAATGTTTGGCAATGGGTCGTATGAGGCACGGTTGTTTTTGTGTGTGTGTTTTAAAAATATGTTTTTATTGGTTTTAGGGAGAGAGGAAGGGAGAGGGATAGAAAATAGAAACATTGATTGGTAACCTCCTGCACACCCCCTATTGGGGATGGAGCCCACAATCCGGTCATGAGCCCTGACCAGGAATCAAACCACTGACCTCTTGGTTCATGGCTCTACATTCAACTACTGAGACACACCAGCCAGGCCTTTGGCAGGGGTTTTTGCCCCGAGGTACATTCATTCCCATCTGAGGACAAAGCCAGAGCATCAGGCCCTCCCCGCACCCACTTCTCATTGCCTGAGGATCCCACTGTTAGTACACAGGCCACCACCTGGTGACCTTCAACTTCACCCTCAAAGCACATTACAGTGGCCTCCTACAAGATGGACATGGCAGGGACCATAGTCTCCAGTTTATAAGTGGCAAATCCAGGAGGGAAACTGAGTCATGAGGGCAGAACTTCCTGACCAAGAACTCCTGCCTACGTCTTCCTGACTACATCTTCAGAACATTTCACCCCAAAGCCACGGAATATACATTCTTCTCAAGTGCACATGGGACATTTTCAAAAATATACCACATATTGGGTCACTAACAATGTCTCCCCAAATTCAAGAAGATTGAAATCATACCAAGCATCTTCTCAGATAACAATGGCATAATATTAGAAATAAACTATAATAAAAACAACCCCAAATACTCAAACACTTGGAAGCTGAATAGCATGTTATTAAATATTGATTGGGTTACCAATGAGATCAAAGAAGAAATTAAAAACATCCTGGAAACTAATGACAATGAAAACACAACAATCCAAAACCTATGGGACACAATGAAAGCAGTCCTGAGAGGGAAGTTTATAGCCCTACAGGCCTACCTCAAAAAATAAGAAAAAATGGTAGTAAATCATCTAACTCTACATCTCAAAGAATTAGAAAGAGAGCAACAAGAAAAGCCCAGAATGAGCAGAAGAAAGGAGATAATAAAGATCAGAGCAGAAATAAATGACACAGAGACCAAAAAAACAATACATAAAATCAATGAAACCAAGAGCTGGTTCTTTGAAAGGATAAACAAGATTGATGAACCTCTAGCCAGGCTCACCAAGAAGCAAAGAGAGAGGACCCAAATAAACAAAATCAGAAATGATAGAGGTGAAATAACAACAGACCCCTCAGAAATACAAATGATTGTTAAAAAATACTATGGACAACTCTACTCCAAAAAACTAGACAACCTGGAGGAAATGGACATATTCCTAGAAAAATACAACATTCCAAAACTCAATCAGGAAGAATCTAAAAATCTCAATAGGCCAATAAATATGAAAGAAATTCAAGCAGTCATCGAAAAGCTTCCAGCAAACAAAAGCCCAGGTCCAGACGGCTTCACAGGAGAGTTTTACCAAACATTAAAGGAAGAACTAAAACCTATCCTCCTCAGATTACTACAAAAAATTCAAGAGGAAGGAACATTTCCAAGTTCATTCTATGAAGCCAGCATCACCCTAATACCAAAACCAGGGGAAGACAACAGAATGAAAGAGAATTACAGGCCAGTATCCCTCATGAACATAGATGCCAAAATCCTCAACAAAATCTTAGCAAATCGGATCCAGCAGTACATCAGAAAGATCATACACCATGACCAAGTAGGATTTATCCTGGGGATGCAAGGATGGTACAATATCCACAAATCAATAAACACGATACATCGTATAAACAAAATGAAAGAAAAAAACCACATGGTCATATCAATTGATGCAGAAAAAGCATTTGACAAAATCCAACACCCATTTCTGATAAAAACTCTCAGCAAGGTGGGAGTAGAAGGGTCATACCTCAACATAATAAAAGCCATATATGATAAGCCCACAGCCAACATCATACTCAATGGACAAAAACTAACACCATTTCCCCTAAGAACAGGAACAAGACAGGGATGCCCCCTCTCACCACTCCTGTTCAACACGTATTGGAAGTATTAGCCATTGCAATGCAAGACAAGAAGAAGAAATAAAAGGCATCCAAATTGGAAAAGTAGAAGTAAAACTGTGCTTATTTGCAGATGACATATTATACATAAAAAACCCTAAAGACTCGATCAAAAAATTATTAGACTTAATAAATGAATTTGGCAATGTAGCAGGATACAAAATTAATGCCAAGAAATCTATGGCATTTCTATACACCAATAGTGAACTTACAGAAAGAGAGACTAAAAAAGCAATCCCATTTACCATCGCACCAAAAAAATTAAGCTACCTAGGAATAAGCTTAACTGAAGAGGTAAAAGACCTCTACTCAGAAAACTACAGGACGTTGAAAAAAGAGATAGAGGAAGACATAAACAGATGGAAGAACATACCATGTTCTTGGATTGGTAGAATCAACATCATTAAAATGTGCACACTACCCAAAGCAATCTATAAATTCAATGCACTTCCCGTTAAAATACCAACGGCATATTTCACAGATCTAGAACGAACTCTCCAAAAATTCATCTGGAATAAAAAAAGACCCCGAATAGCTGCAGCGATCCTGAGAAAGAAGAATAAAGTAGGTGGGATCTCAATACCAGATATCAAGCTGTATTACAAAGCCATTGTTCTCAAAACTGCCTGGTACTGGCACAAGAACAGACATATAGATCAATGGAATAGAATAGAGAGCCCAGAAATCGGCCCGAACCAATATGCTCAATTAATATTTGACAAAGGAGGCAAGAACATACAATGGAATCAAGACAGTCTCTTCAATAAATGGTGTTGGGAAAATTGGACAGATACATGCAAAAAAATGAAACTGGACCACCAACTTACACCATACACAAAAATAAACTCAAAATGGATAAAGGACTTAAATGTAAGACGGGAAACCATGAAAATACTAGAGGAATCCAAAGGCAACAAAATCTCAGACATATGCCGAAGCAATTTTTTCACTGATACAGCTCCTAGGGCATTGGAAACTAAAGAGAAAATAAACAAATGGGACTACATCAAAATAAAAAGTTTTTGCACAGCAAAAGAAACCATCAACAAAACAACAAGAAAGCCCACTGCATGGGAGAATATATTTGCCAATGTTATCACCGATAAGGGTTTAATCTCCAACATTTATAGGGAACTCATACAACTTAACAAAAGGAAGATAAACAATCCAATAAAAAAATGAGCAAAGGACCTAAATAGACACTTTTCAAAAGAGGACATTCAGAAAGCCAAGAGACATATGAAAACATGCTCAAAGTCACTAATCATCCGAGAAATGCATATCAAAACAACAATGAGGTACCACTCACACCTGTCAGACTGGCTATCATCAACAAATCAACAAATGACAAATGCTGGAGAGGATGTGGAGAAAAAGGAACACTTGTGCACTGCTGGTGGGAATGCAGACTGGTGCAGCCACTATGGAAGACAGTATGGAGTTTCCTCAAAAAGTTAAAAATGTAACTCCCATTTGACCTAGTGATCCCACTTCTAGGAATATATCCCAAGAAATCAGAAACACCAATCAGAAAGGATATATGCACCCCTATGTTCATAGCAGCACAATTCACCATAGCTAAGATTTGGAAACAGCCTAAGTGCCCATCAGCAGATGAACAGATTAGAAAAATGTGGTACATCTATATGATGGAATACTATGCTGCTGTAAAAAGAAGTAATTCTTACCATTTGTGACAGCATGGATGGAACTGGAGAGCATTATGCTAAGTGAAATAAGCCAGTCAATGAAAGAAAAATACTACATGATCTCACTCATTTATGGATAATTAAGACCATTATAAACTGATGAGAAAAAATAGATACAGAGGCAGAGCAACATCGAACAAACTGTCAAACTACAGCGGGAGGGCTGGGGAGGGTTGGACGGTGGCGGATTGGGGGGGAGGTAAGAGATTAACCAAAGGACTTATATGCATACATACGAGCATAACCAATGGACACAAGACACTAGGGGGAATGGGAGGCTAGGGGAGGGTCAAGGGGAGAAAAGAAGAGACATATGTAATACTCTTTGTAATACTTTAAACAATAAAACAATAAAAATTAAAAAAAGTAGGAGGAGTCCTATATTGGGTCATTCGTACATCTCCAAATGGCCATTTTTTTTTTTTTTTTTTTTTTTTTTTTTTTTTTTTTTTTTTTTTTTGTGAGGAGCTAACTGCTCCCAACACCCAAAGAGCAGGTAAAGAAATAAACCCTGCCCTACGTGGTACAGCCTGCCACACCCCGAATTTTGAGCTTTACTGAGGGAGCAAAGGCAGAGGCCAAGTTTAAGGGTAGAACAGTCTCGAGGAGCACTCAGTGAGCTGATGGGAGGAGGGGCCATCTGCCCCACTATTCTAGGAACCACAGTGATAAAAAGTCCAGGGTTCCAAGGGCAGAAAAATATGTTGGGCCACTCACAGAAGAGTAACTTTGGGACAGAAAATGCACTCATCATATTTCCTCAAAGCAAAAGAGCACCTACCCCACCTAAAGCGCTCTCAGAAACAGACTTTAGAGTGATTAAGATTGACAGCTGGCTGATAGGCCAAGGTGGGTAGAGATGGAACTCAGGGAAGTGTACTGAACCAGCCCAGGCCCCGGGCATCTAACAAACCTAATCTAGAGGGCAGTTTGGCCCCTCTTGCTTACAGCCAAGGCCTGTGGAGACAGACACAAGCAGTGGACTGGTGCATTGCTTGGAGCTTCAGGCAGGTTTCTAAAAGTCAACAGACAGTACCTGACAGTAGTTAGCACCTAAGTACCTAACAGGAACCCAGAATTGGCATACAGAACAAAAGAGTAGGGTCCTAAGCCAGTTCCCATGGGGTATTAAAACTCAGCTGAAATGAACAACACTTCACATCCCACCCCCCAACTTTTTTCTTCCTCTTTTCTCCTTTTTACTGATGTTTTTATTCTCCTTGATCCTTTTTAGTTTTTCTCTTTC